AAGTGTGAATTTTCTACTATACAAACTTGGCAACGTTCATGAATTTATCATGGCAAGGGAAAGATGAGAATATTTGTATAAGCTATTTTCTATTTGGTGGTTAGGAATTAATAATTTACCTTTAAAATGTATATTTGGGAGAAAGTTATGATTAACCCTCAATTATATTATGTTTCCTTACAGAATCTAAGTCTTTCTCTGTAGGGGCACAAAAATCTGTTCATCTCCATGGTAATAAGAAAATGAAGGCAATAAGCTTAAAAATGGTATACAAATACATTTCAAATGCAGAGGAGATAGTAGAATAAAAGTACTGCTATAAAATTGCATTCACATGTACTACCTAAAACTACTCTGAAATCCAATAAGAGCTCTACAGATTTGTTTTGAAAATTATTTATCTTTGTTATTATTCTCTGCAACTTTCACTGACATTAATATTGATATAAAATCTTGAGAAATAGAAAGGAAAAATCTTTCTCTCTTAATCCATTGAATCCTCCTGAAATGAGGAGCAATCCCATAAGATTATCCCATAGCAGAGTTCATGCAGTTCACTTAGCAAAGGCCCCACATTTAAATATTAATAGAGGAATGTATTTACATTTGCTTGGTTCTTTTTCATTAAAGTTAAAAGAACAAACAATCCCTTCTTGCTTCAGTGTCTGGTTTTCAGAGATTTCTGGCCAGAGGCTTTGTTTTCTCTCAGGGGTATAAATAAACATTAAAAAGAAAAAGAATGTCATAATTTTCTTATTTTTCCCTCTCTGGGGTGGTATTAATGTTGAAGAGACATTGAAAACAACTACTCACTCTTTATTGTGCCCAGTAACTTTCCAACCTCTGGTCTAGTCCCTGGTTTAAGGAAGGAAAGAAATCAAATATCCCAATCATTTTTACATTTCCCCAGAAAAAGAGGATAATGAAGCATTCAGGAATTGATTCTTAGAAGTATCAAGAGCAAAAGTAGCTGTGACTTAATATCCTTGAATCTCTAGTTCCCATTTACAGCTGTGAAACATGAGACTTAGAGTTGGTAAGGACACTGTTATTACTAAGTGATGAACTAGAGAGTTGGAACTCAAATCTGGGTTTTCATTTTCTAGCTCCACTGTTAGCACCAACATGCACAGCACTTCCCCTCTTAGATAAAAGGACTGAGATGAGAAGAAATATTGCTAGAGATAAGGAAAATATCACCATGCTTCGGTTTCTATTTTTGATGACTGCTACACCCACTATCCTTGGGCTGTGAGCCTATCTCTGCTTCTTCAAAATAATCCAAGTAAATTGATTCTACCTGCTGCCTTCTGCCTGTCTGCCACCTACCCCCTAAGGGTTCACATTCTGCATTGCTTCATCATCTGAGGGAGGATGACATCCCCGTTCCAGAATGACTGCAAAGGCCGGCCTTGCCCTCCACATTTATCTTCTACCCCCACTGAACAAGCAGAGCACACAGTAGACTAACTCATTTATTTCTACTCATTTATTGATGGCCTTTCATAACCAAGTTATTAAGTCATCAATAACTTCAGAGAAATAAATGAACAGATCCAGAACTGGGCCAACTGATATTTAAGATATATACTGAAATTTTTATCTAGATCAGCAGGACAGTCAATGTGGGATCATCAGTGGTATTTCCCTCACCTTGGAAAACCTTTTATTCTAGTTGGAACTCACTTTATTTTTGCTACAAAGTAGTGACCTCAATAGTATCTCCAGTATCCCAAATAAAGTTTGAGTAAAAGATGATATGCTCCAAAATATTACACTTTTGTAAAATGTTGTCTAATGTGTCTAGTTCTTATCAGAGAACACAGGAAATCTTCCTGAAAATTTTGCCAGAAGTTTTCAGGAATGCTAGTGAGTTCTGATTTATTCTTTCCAAAATAATGAAAATAAAACCAAAGGAAAGGAAAAAGGGAGCATATAGAAGACGTAGGGAAGCCCTTGAAACCAATATTTCAGATTCTCAAGAAATTCCTAATAGTGACCAGTAGGTTTCAAAGGGCACTTTTTAAGACGTCCACAGTTCACCCGTGGAAGAGAACCATGATTTTGATTTTGTTGTAGAACTTGTGTAGTTGGTCTATCTCAGTTCTTGAGCATCCCACAGTCCCAACGCCACCTCTGTGGTCACTTATCCTTTTGTCCTCAATTGTTACCTACTGTGTACTGAAGTTCCAAGAAGAGGGGAGGAATTCTGGCTGCTAAGGGCCTACAAGTGTCCTTGGGAAGCTTTCCATGCACTATTGCCTCAAATTCATCATCTTTAAAACAGGAGTACTAAAAGAACAAATTTCATCAAATGGTCCTAGGATTTAAGAGTTAATATATGAAAAGCATTTAAAATCATACCTGGCACATGATATTGAAGTTATTGTTGTTGTCATTAATAAAAATATAGTGGTTTCCATATGTTTAGAATCTCAGATAACAGTCAGTTCAGTTTCTTTGATTCATTTTACAGACAAGGATCCTGCAGCCCCAGTATCCAGCTATTCAATGTCTGTGCTTCCCAAATGTTCTTTTTTCTTTTTTTTTAAGGTTATGTTCACTGACAGTGTGGTTTGTGTTTTAGAGCTACCATATCACTCCCTTAGGTGTTGTTCCCAAACCTTACCTGCCACTAAAGCACCCATCGTCTACCAACATAGTTCATTGCTTTCCAAAATATAAAGGCTGAGTGAAATATCTTTGGAATCTAGCAATCTTACCGTAAAGTCCCAATTGCACTACTTGCTAAATATGTGACTTTAGGCTTATCTCTTCCCTTCTCTAAACTTCCCTTATCATCTATAAAATACCAAGCAATGGAACCTAGCTTGGTGGGTTTTTTTTTTTTTTTTTGAAAATAGGAATATAATAACAGAAAAATTAATGGCTGGATAAAATAAGTAGTACACTTTCTAGGAACTAGCTGCCTATGCATGTGTGTCTTAGGTATGATTATGTAAATCTTTATTGTGCTTAAAGAAAAGAAAAAGGGGACACAGATCAGGGGAGAGAAGAAGAGAAAGAGAAATGCTTACTTTTGGCCTAGAAATTTTCATACTAATTTAGCATGAACACTCTTATTTAGGCAGCTAAAGCACAAAAGACTGTGTTTCTTGCAAAATAGTAAAGAAAACTTGCAGAATAGTAAAGAAAAATTTATGCAACAGATTTTTGCAGATATGACATCTTTGTTGGTTCAGAAAAAAAAAACTTTAAAAAGGAGGGGAGGGGAAGTAGACAAGGGTAGAATTGAACTAGACACCTGTTTTTTTTATGGGAGAATATGAAAAATAAATTCTAGCTTTAACAAGGCATGGCACCCCAGGGCTTTCAGGAAACTGATTTTCAGAGCTCTGATGTCCACAAACACATCATAGGTGGCCCACCATGGGGTTCAGGAGAGTGGGGGATGAGCTCTACAGTCACATCAGTTTGGGAAATCCTTTCCTCTTGAAGAATTACAATACTCATTTATAAATGAAAAACTATGAGATGTCATGTCTAAGCTATCTGTTTAATACTGATATATACATGTTTAATACTGTTTAAGACATGATATAAGCTATCTGTTTAATACTGTCAAGCCCATCCTTTAATGAATGATTGCACAGAATTGCCATCAATAGCATGTAGAGCAGTGGCAGACTACTGTTTGGGAACACTGGGAAACTGTACAAGATCTTAATCCAACCAATAAGAAGAGCTGCCAGGTTAGGTTTTAATCTTCCTGTGTGTATCTGCTTCAAACATTGCGGACATTTTAAAAGATAAATGGCTGCCTAGAAATGGGCCGCATTTTGTTTTCTCGTATTCCCAACTCATTTTGGAGGAAATGGCACAGCCACTGCTGCTGGTACACATTCTTCACAGAATAGGATGTAGACCTTTGTGTTCAGCTATGTATCACTAGTCACCAATGGAATCAGCTGGGAATGAGCCAAAAAGTAAATAAAAGGATTAACAGGGAACCACCAGTGGATTGCGATGTCTGTGTGTGGCATCGTCTCCTCCGAACATTCACATTATCACTGGGCTGTGAACTCATGATACAATTTGAGGTGGAAACCGTAGACACAAACAAAGCAATGAAATGCACATTAAATATAAATGCTTTTAATGATGGCAATAATTATATCTGATTAAAGTCTGGAATTCTTTCTTAATAGGCAAAAAGGGTTACACAAAATAAGTATTAATGCTTCTGGATCTCCTTCTGCCCACACTGGAGTGTTCATTATCTGTGCTGTCTCTGAAGTTCACAAAAATTTTTCACCTTCTTTCTTGTTCTCACATTTTCATTCTCTTCTCTCACATGAACACCATCAAACACTTTGCTTTCTCTCTTGTCCTTCTTAATTCCTTTCCAATTCTCCTTCCCACTGTGGTGCTTTTGAAAAAAAAGAAATGAGACAAGCACATTCAATTATTGCAGGCTTCCTATCAGGAATATCTGTTTTAAAACTCTGAAGAATCAAAGCAGGAAGTTGTCAAACATTCACCAGAGCCTTGAGAGCCACCTATCCAACAGAGAATGAATGAAAAGTAATTTAACAATTATTAGACTTTCATCATCCCTTTAGTCTTGACCTTTTGGTAAATTATAAATAAATATCACCCAAATTGGACAGGAGTAAATTGCCACATTCCCATGATAGTGATCTGACAGATATATTCTTTCACTGATGTCAAAAAAGTCACATTCCCTAGCTACTTAATAAAATGGGGATTATTATGAAAAGTAAATGCTGAATTATGCCACAAGATTCTCATCTATAGGGTAAGACCTACAAGATAATTTATTTGGCAGCTGCTTTACTATAGAAATGCCTATAACCTAGAACTTTCTTTTTTTTGATGTGGTTAAGTTTAATTTGGTTTGATTTGTATTTTTATACTGAAAACATTTTAATATATTTATTATGCATTAATGTTGGTATTATCAATCAATAGTGTATGTTGATGCTTTATCTAGTGCCTTTTCTGTTGTCTTTCTCCAGGAAGCAAATAACATGGACAAAAGCAAGACAAGAGTCGAAAGTGCGTGGCTCTTCAGAATATGGTATGGCTTTGACCACAAATATCCTTTGATAATGATGCATTCCAGATCAACTGCAGGACACAGATTAATTTTGAGCCCTTAATCATAGAGGTGTATGCTATTGCTCAACAAACACAGAAAGGTAAAGTGAATTCACAGCCAAACTTACCAAAAAGAATGATTTTAAGAAATGAAAAACTATAGATTGTGTAACAAAGAGCTAAAGTGAATCAAATAAAGTTGCTATATCCATGGCAGCTTAATATTTTAAAAATCATATGATAAAATCATACCGTCCTAAAGGGCCCATCTTTTTTATTTATTTTTACTGTCCTTTCCTCTGTAAAGATCTTTCTTGTGGTCAAGCTGGCCAAGGTGATCCAGACAAAGATCCTTCTCCCTTCTCCTAGAAATCATCTGTACACTTTTGTTTCACATTGTAAAAATTAAGTGTGTGTGTGTGTGTGTGTGTGTGTGTGTGTGTGTTTGGTGTGGTTGGAGGGTGGAGGGTCGGGAAGGGGGTAGCAGTGGAAAGGAAATGAATGGCCAAGGAAAAGAATGGGTCTGGTCACCACATTGTAAAATAAGATGACTTTGTGTTCCAGGCAGATTTGAGTAAACTTTTCCCAGTGGAGGACAATTTAAAAATTCTAGCAATCAGTGTAAACTCAGTGACTCGGATATACCTTACAGTGTGATTCACAGGGCTGAGAAGTCAGGCCTGAAGGGCTTTGCCATTGTGAGTTGCAGTAAGTGGTCCATCTCTAATCCTCAGCAAAAGCACCTGGGAAGAAAGGAAAGCACTGCCCTGAAAATTGAATGTGTTGGGTCATTGTAGTTAGTTTTCACAGTCTCAAATCCCTCTCCTTTCAGGGAGAAAATGCCAGTCACTGGGTAATTTTAAAGCCTAAGCTTTGATTAAAACCACAACAGATCAGTTGGAGAGGAAAAATTAAGAACAGGGGAAAGAAATTCAAAGAATAAGATGAAGAAGAGATAACATAGGGAAGAGGAGGTAAGAGAAATACAGGAAATTCACAGTAGGAAGGAAAGGAAAGCAAATTAGAGAAACAAGTGGAAGGCTTTTAAAAATTAAGAAAAGGAAAGCCAACTGGAAATGGCAGGAAAAGAAAAAAAAAAAAATACAAGTCTGAGCAGTTCTGCAAGCATGAACTTTCCAAGGGTTGCAAAATGGAGATGTGGGATGGATTGATTTTTGAGGCTATAGTTTTATTTTTCTACAGCTTTGCTCTCTATGAAAAGATATCTTATTTTGCTCAATCTTGAACCTTTATGGACAATGTTAATTGCCACCCTATTAAAAGCAGTCCATCTTTGCTTGTAACTGCTTCTTGAAGGTTCTGGTACCTTGTTAAATTCTCCGTAGCCCTTCTGGATAATTTAAGAAAGTTGATTCTTAGCAGGTTATGTTGGTTTATGTTTCCTAGTTGGTTTCTCTCCTTGAAACACAACTCCACTGCCATTGCTTAATGTACCTGGTGGTCAAATATATAGCAAGATATAAAAATGTGACTAAAGAGTAGACATAAAGGCTGCTTAGTTGTAACAAAATGTACAGTGAAAAAAAAATAATTCAGAAATGAGTTAGAAAATATTTTTGTTCAAATTCTGTCAGTACTGTAAGAAATACTTTACAACAGAGAAAGGAGTAAAGTAGAAAAATAATTTGGAGGTAAATATATAAAAGTGGAACCCACCCAAATATTTACCTTAGGGCAATGACATCAAATTCAGACGAAGTCATAGTTTTTGTCTCACTTTTCACTTGAGGTTTATTTCCATATAATTATTGTCAGACTAGTCAAAAAATGAAGCAAATTTACACATACAGCAATATCTCTTATAGTAATTTGTTCTCTTGTGCATTCAATCTAGAAATTGCAGTGCTACCATCACTGTACAAATATATTTTCACTTAGACAACAAAGTTTTTATATCCTAGTTATGCTCTGAATTCATACCCAAAGAATACCAGAACAGACCAATCAGTTTCCACACTGTGACCTTTTAGCATACCTACATTTTTTAGATACCTATTACCAGCTTGACATTTATGTGCGCTCTGTTGTCCACCTGGAAACCCAGACACAGGCCCCATGTACCTCGTAGGTAACCTATTCTAGTCACTACGTAAGCCAGGTAGAGGTAATCTGCAAGCCTGGGAGTAGGTTGCCTGGACTAGGCCAAAACACACACACACACACACACACACACACACACACACACTTTGGAGTTGCTCAAGTTTCATTTCAGTTAAACTACATCTTGCAAATGAGGTTTGATAAAAATTTACTGACCAAATGAAAAAAAAGAACATGTAACCATATGCACTTACATCAATCAGGTTTCTGTACACAAACAGAAACAGACTAGTAGGAGTATGTGCACATGCATAGCAAGTGTTGGAGAGCAGAAAGAGGAGGTAGAGCTATACATCACTACATAGATATAAATATACATATCGATTTATTTTAAGAAATAGGCTTAATTCTCTATTATTGCCACCTCAGCGTCAATTTGATGATCAAAATAAAAGGAATTTGTCTGGTTCGGAAAAAAAAATAAAAAAGAAAAGAAATAGGCATATGCAAGTTTGGGAAGTGGCAAGTCCCAAATTTGTAGGGAAGGCTCTGAGGATAGAAATGCTCATCCATGAGCTGTTGCTGCAATTTGAGGTAGAGTTCCTCTTGCCTCAGGAAGAAAACTCAGTTTTTCTCAGAAAGCTATCCAACTGATTGAATAAGGCCCATCCACATTATTATGGATCATCTCCTTTCCTAAAGGAGTCTAGATGTTAACCAGATATACAAAAATACCTAGATTAGGAGTTGACTAAAAATTGGGTAACTTAGTCAACTTGACACATAAAACTAGCCATCACAGCACTCAATTTCCATTCAATTTATGCCCTATATTCAGACCCAAGGACTAGAAGACCTTCTAAATTCTCCATTGTCATCAATAGAACAAGCCACTATTGTACACATCATTTTGTATACTTGTTCACGGCATAAGTAGTAAACATATACATTCCTGATAGAGAATTTCCCAAAATTACAGGAAGATCAAAGTTATAATTAACTTTTAATGTAGACAAACAGCAGCCAACTACAGTATTGAATGCTTAGCTTTGTAATTTCGTTTCCCCTTCACAGCTCTGCAGAAGGTTATTAAGGTCTAATGCAACAAGTTATAATGCAACAATACCCTCTAGAGGGTATAATGCAGCAAGAATGGCCTGCCCACTACACAGCCTCTGCTCAAACAACCTGCACTTCCCTGTTTGAGAGTTGTTTTCAAGTCTGTGGTGCCAAAAATGATGACAATTAAGATATTATGTTTCACTGTGGGCACCTACTCTGAGTCATGCAGTGCAAAGAATAAATTGGGAAGGGGGTAGATGAGAAAGGAGCCCTGTGCTGAGGACTGGCCATTTGCAGCCAGGTACATGATCTCATTTAGTGCTTATAACCACCCTTCTGATGTACGTAATGTTTACCATCACCCTCTTTAAGGTAGAAGAAATAAAGCCCAGAGAACTAAATAACTCTCTTAAGATTCCATAACTGCATCAATCTCATGATCCAAGCCCAATTTTGTCTCATACTAAAGCCCAGAAGTAAATAACTTTATCATATATGCTCATTTATTCCCTACTTTATATTCAAAATCCCCTGTCTCTATAGGTTCATAAGCTCACCATTAAAGCAATGAATAATTATGAGTGCTTACATTGTGTTAAAAAAATGTGCTTACATCTGAAACATCTGCTGGCAATACATTAGATGATAAAATTTGGAAGCCTGGTTGATAACCCTAGAATATTACCATAAACAAGTTTCCAAATTTCTGAGTCAGATCCTCAACGTTTCTTGGGCAGAGTTAAATATGCCTAAGACTTCAAAAATAATTTACTCTCATAGAAGTAGCTATAATCTAGCCAACCTCAAAGAAGGCACAGCAAATTCCTAAATCATCTTATTCCCTCAAGAGTGGATGTCCTTTCCTAACCATGAGTAGGTTCAAGTCACAGTCTGGCCCCTAGAATCTCTGCAGCCCCTGGCCCGCTCTCAGTATCAAGCTCATGCTGTCCCAGCCACTCTGGGTTCCTTAAGCCCTTGTAGCACACTCCTGCTCCAGGTCTTTGTGCTGCTTCTTCCCTCTGCTGAGGATTCTCTTTCCAACTCCTTTACCTCTTTCACTCAGTGGTCAGTGAGATCTTCCTGGTTCTGCATTTAAATTAGGAGGCCCAACAGAAGCATTCCTTCTCTCATTCCCGCCTTCATTTTTCATCTTAACAACACTTAACACTGCAGTGCCTTCCTATGCCTTCAAGGCATAGGAATTCATTTATTCATTGGTGGGTGGGTGTGTGTGTGCAAGGTGTGGAGCAATATGTGGCACTAGTGGGTCCTCAATAAGTTTATATTGAATGAATGAGTGAAGCAAGCAAGCTATAGTTTCCATTCTAGATATTCCATAGCAGGAAAATCCAATAATCTGAGGGCTACTAGGGGAGTCTGAAAGGAGAGCAAAATGGAGTGGGTAATCTCAGTGTTTTTACCCATGTAGATCTCCACCCCGCCAGCCCGAGAGTCTAGTGTCCCTGTCCCTGGAAGGGACTGCCACCATAGCCAACTTGAACCGCTGTTGCCTCACCAACCTCTTTGTGATGGCTGGTCCATCCTTCCTTAGACCTAATAAGGATCCCTGTATGGTACATTTAGGCTTGACTCTCGCCTAGAAGCCATCTCTGTGTGGATGATTTTGAATATATCTATCTCCCCAATTGTGTGTTGATTTTATTGGCAACATGAAACTCAAAATTGTACAGCTACCTATCATCCTCACCAACAATCTCCGATAGTAAGGAGATTAGAAGCAAAAATCGATTCCCTCTCATTATTCTGATTTTAAGGTATCAAATGAAATTATTTGCTTCAATTCACTGTGCTACAGCTGGTATGGGAATCTTATGTTGCCTAATTCATAGGTGACTAATGATCCTACTGGACTGC